CTAGATAGTAACCAGGGTACGCTTCCGCGTATACTGGAGCGTATCCCAGGGTACGTTCCGGCAGTACCCTGGGGGACATAGACCCTATCAGCGAAAGTGACACCCAAAAAAACTCTGGCTGTGACCATGCACCCTCAGTGCCATTTGGCTAAAGGCTAACTACCTGGATTTACCCAAGCTAGGTCACAGCCCATGGCTAGCTATAGCGTTCCCTATAGCTATTCCTGCGTTATTATCCACGTAATCGTGGGCTACGCAGAAAACTATCAGAGATCCAGAACTACCAGTCCTTATGCTAGTCTGAGTGGTTCGACATGTCGACGAGGCATCCTGACTACACAGGTAGAGCTATACCCTTTCTCTAGCTCTACCATACACGTAGCTCTAGTAAGCCTATACTATTGCCTGCATACAGTTGCCGCAGGGCTATATAGAACATTCTATTACGAATGCTAGGAACCAACTTATTCACGGTTAGTCGCAGCTATAAAACGTCTGTGGTAGGCAATTAATGCCTCCTATCCTAAGTGAATATGTCTTAAGTTATATCAGCTACTAAAATTTAACCTCTGACTATTATTGAAATGGTCTACTTGCGGTATTTCTTGTGAACAAACATTATTTACGAACTTCAAACGGCCATTCTTGGTGGCGCTGCAGCAGCGCCAGTCAGTGGGTTGGTTCCTATCATTCGTAATAGAATATATTCTATAGCCCTGCGGCAACTGTACGCGGGCTATAGTACTAGAGCTACCATGCGTACACGTACGTTGCACGGGCAATACCAAGGACGTGCGGTAGAGCTACTATTGCTCCAGCTCTAGTACTATATAGCTCGTTCTCCACTATGCCACGTACTACGCCGTACACCACTACGTCACGTACTAAAGCTACTATAGTCATAAGTGTCTGCATGTGTAGATCGATGCTCTTACAAAATTATTGCATTTTCTGGCTAAGGACAGACCTCTTCTCGCCAATGGGCCTTAATCGTCATTGCTTTGAGCTCATTTTTCTTTTGCAGGTGACACATGTTCAAAGCAGTCACTTCGATCGCGCCAGCAGCCTCTAGTTGTTGCAGACGAGGGGTTCTTTTCCGATCATCAGCCCCCCTGACCAGTTTTTACCAGCTAAATACTTCTGCTTGTTTCAGCACTACATCACAGGTATATGAATTGAAAAAATTGAATGTAAAAACCAGTAGCATTTACCTGATATATATATATATATATATATATATATATATATATATATATATAGAGAGAGAGAGAGAGAGAGAGAGAGAGAGAGAGAGAGAGAGAGAGGAGCTGAGCGAGAAAGAAAAAGGGGGATGGATAGAGGCATGATTGTGAGGAAAAACATAGCAGAGTCTGACCGTAGACTAGGTAATATTGCGTTTGTGGAGTTTATTTTAGTTATTATGATCTTAGTTTATAGTTATTGTGTGCATTTTATTGTATATTGATGATGTTTTCATGTGTTTATCGAAGACAGTTCAAGCGACGCTTTCCAACTATAACGTTTTGTCAGTGGCGTATAGCCAACTTCCAGTTTTTAACACGGGGGGGGGGAGAGAGCCAAAACAGTGAACTGCGCAAAATAGTAGATCGTACGTTAATATTTTATGGTTGCCTCCTCCCTCTCACACACCCTACACTCCCCAGCCTCTCAGCTCTGGCAATCTATGTTTTGGAGCGCATGCAAAAAGGCCACATTTCTTGTTCGATTGTTTTTGTCCCAAGATAAGTAACTGTTCGTGGCGGATCCAGATCCGAGGAGGGGTGAAAAACGGGTGGGGAGTAGGGGGGTCCTTCCCAGAAAGTTTTTTGAAAATTTTAGGATGCAGGAGATGGGTAATTGTAGGCACTTTTGAGTACATATACAGCGCTTCATTTGACTGCGCGACAATTCTCTGTTTAGTAAAACCATTATTTTTTTTTATTTTACTTTTTTGTTACGTTCGGAATCAAACGTGCGGGGGCATGGCCCTTTGCCCCCCCTGACTACGCCAATGCGTTTTGTTATGATGTGTTCTTATTTCTAGCTGATGGCCTCCACAGAATTCAAGGGAGCAAAGAGACTTGAAGGAAACTATGGAAATGTTTGGTTGGTGGCATTTCATATTAAATTCCCTTGGATTCTGAAAGAAAACATATTAAAATGTCTTTGTATCTCAGGACTTTTTGAAACCGTTACAAATGTTGTCTATCGACTGATATTTAATAGTATGATGTAAATACATTTGAGTGATCGGAAAAAAACTATTTATTGAGTGCAAATTGAATTTCTTATTACTACATGCTCTTTACTACCACACTTTTACTAAACTGATCCTATTTTGTATATTAATTCTATATTTTTGTGAATTCATTGTAGGGTGGAATACATTGCCCTCACAATGAAGCATAATGCCTTGAACCTTGGGCAGGTGAGTTTATTAATATCAAATAATGGTAAACAGAAATACTTCCATTATTTTTAGACATGTATAATCATGGGACTTCTGTAGATAACACGTTTGTGGACAGTTTTTGTAGACTATGTATTAAATTGTACAAAAACGAATATGATGTGTGCTGCATACTTGTCAAGATTACGAAAGATTCTTTACAATATAATTATTACTATATTGTGTAGTTCAGGAGAACTCATTGCTGTTGGCAGAAAGTGAACTCAGTTCAGTAATCTTGTACACGTATAATTTATAAGTGTGGCTATAGCTAGCAACGATTGTATTTTTACAGGGGTTTCCCGACTTTGCGCCGCCCGACTACGTCACGAAGGCTTTGGTTGAGGCTGTCACTGGTCCGAATGTTCTTCTGAACCAGTATACCAGAGGATATGTGAGTTGGTGTTTATTACTCGTAGATTTGCACATTCAACATTAGCAGTCATTGCTTACTACTGTATAGCCTTATCTTATCGATGTTATCGATATAGCAGCACGTGTTTATATATCGGTGATTGTATAGTTTGTACCCAATATGTAGTTGCTTAGATGAAATTGTACAGCACGCATGTAAATATATTCAAGGTTTTTTTAATGTAATAGCATGATGCGCGTCACAAATTGTTCTCAAGGTGGCTCTCATCAAAGCCCATATTTAGTGTTTATAGTAACATGAGTTGACGATTTTACACCGATTTTGCTAAGCTTTTTTTTTCAATTCTTTTATTTTTAATAAAATCCAATCTATATAGCAATGCTGGTTGCATAGTGGACAGAGTGCAAGGTGCAGGTGCGGGGTGCATTGGTAATCAAGCTCTGTACTGCTGAGCATGATACCTAGTAGAATCATTTAGCTTTCTACTTTTATTTTTTTCGTAGCGTCAAAAGGAATGGCCGAATTCCTCGGCGCAAATCCATTAAAAATAAGGCCTAAATTTTTTGTAAATGTGTGCCTACATTGCTGTGTGTACATTGCAGGGGCATCCACGCCTGGTGAACGCGATAGCGAAACTGTTCTCTAAGCTGCACGATCGACCGGTCGACCCAATGACAAACGTGCTGGTCACCGCCGGCGCTTACGAGTCCCTCTTCTGCTGTTTCCAGGGATTCATCAATCCTGGAGATGAGGTGGGATTCAACTCTTTGACCAGTGGTTCCCAGTGTGTGCTGTACCGCGGCGCTGCGGTGGTTATTAATTGGGGGTGGGGCTGTTGAAAGGCGGTGGGTAGCTGTTTATAGGGTGGAGTAGGGAGCCTGACAAAGTTTGGGAACCACCGTTATAGCCCTGTTGTTCATCAGTAGGTGTTAGTAATCTAGGCCAGCTCTACCCGAGTAGCACCTTCGCTCCCGCTACCGGGGTATACGACCAACCTAGCTCTACCCATGTAGCACCTTCTCTTCTGCTACAGGGGTACACAAACAACATAGCTCTACACGTATAGCCCTTCTCTCCCATTACTGGGGGTATACCAACAACAGCTCCACTAGTATAGCTCTTCTCTCCCATTACATAAGTATACAAACAACATATAGCTCTACCCATGCAGCCTTTCTCTCCAATTACAAGAGTGTACAGGAGCTTCCTGTAGGGGGAGCAAAGGCGCTAGACAGGCAGAGCTAAACCTAGGCCAGCTATAGTTCACTACGCTATAGTTCAAAGCTGTGTTAGTACAGTGTATAGTATAGGCAGCACTAGAGTACCTACATAAAGATGAGATAGAGATAGAGATAGAGATACGGATACCTACATAAATCTTTATGTAGGTACTCTAGGCAGCACTAGACGTTTGTAGCACTCGCGGTTGCTCGTAAAAAAGGTGGTGGGCGTGTCCATTAGTGTTTGTCCTTGCAGGCAGCATGTACCACCTGCTGTTGTGTATTTGGCGGTGACCGACTGGCGCGGAGAAAAGGAAGGACAGGGGGAGGGGGGGGCAATTTCGTGTTTGGGTTTTCGGGGGACGAGGCGATGTTCGAACGACGTTGTTCTTGCTGCAGGTGATCATCATTGAACCGTTCTTCGACTGCTACGAACCGATGACTCGAGCGGCTGGGGGAACGCCTGTGTTCGTGCCTCTGCGACCGGTGAGTGAGAGCGAGCGTCCTCTAACCCAGGCCATCCTTAAAAAATTCTATGTTTGCTGTCCCCCGACCCATTATTTTTTTAGTGGGTAGGTAGGTAGGTCTTCTTCTTTTTTTGTGAGGCATAATAGTTATTTTAAGTCTGTCCTCATGTTTGCCACACATGCTTTGTGTTTCAGTCTTAACTATGAGGAATGTATATGCACCTTCCAGAATACCAGTAGAAGATTTATATTTATATTTATATTTATATAGACAAAATAAACAAAAAAACAAAAACAAAATGGAACCCAAAATGTCAAAAAAACTTTTGGGTTGCGGCTATTTTCGTGGGTCGGTCGGACAGCAAACACATTTTTTTAAGGATGGCCCCAGTGTGCTTCTTCTTAAACTATTTAAGTCGGTGTCATTCACCCTCGAGTCTTCATCACAAAATTTTGTTTACTCGCAACTAAATTTCCTTATGTTCTTTGTTTAGTTTCGTTCATCTCAATGTAATTACGATCACCCTTGGGTGAACCATTCACCAGTTTAAGAAACACTGAGTCTAACCATTCGTGCAGCTGGATCAACATTCCAACAATGTGGCAATGTAACAACAATAATTGCGATGCAACAACAACAAGAAACACAAAAAACATCAACGAACGACGACAGCATTAGCACCGACAACAAAAAACAACAAAGGACAATTACAGCAATTACAATAACAATAACAACAACGATACAACATAATAGCTATAACACTATAATAGCAATAATATCATAATAACAATAATGTCATAACAACAGCATCACAACAACTACTATGGCTACACCAAAACAACAACAATTTTTGTGTAGGGTAATCAATTTGTGCTCGTCATTCGTGTAACATCCTAGGTGATCGATGCATCGTTCTTCAGTTGTCTTTTCCTTGTAAAGCCAGGCTTAGGTCGCGTTGCGATTGAATGCGACGCGGCGCACTGCAACTCGCTGCGACTGCAGTGCTAAAGGTCGACAGCGACGCTACTGACAGCGACAGTTGCAGGCAGTCGCAGAAGGCACTTATAGGTCGAAGCGACGATCGCCTATAGATCGCGCAACTAAATGAGTTTACATGGGTTGTTGAGCTGTGTGCATGTTGTGTACATGACTGTATGCACTAATTGTTTTATTCGCGTGCATCGTTCATTATGCATACGAATCTCGTCGCAGCGATCGCAAGGCAGCTTATGTCAGGTAGTAACCAGGAAAAACAATGCTTGCGACCGGTGGAACCAGTTGCGTCGCATCGCATCACGTCGCAGGAGTAGAACATGTGCGACTCGCTGCGACTGCGCTGCGACTGACAATTTTCCAGTCGCAGACAGTCGCTGGCAGTCGCAAGGGTGCTTAGGTCGAACTTTCTCTGTGACGCGATCGTCGCTGCGACTTGCAACCAGTTGCAGAAAATCAGTCACAAGGCAATCGCGTCGCGTCGCAAGGCCGACATAAGCCCGGCTTAAAGCGAAGCTTCATTTCTCGCACAGAGTAAGCCAGGTTCGTTGATGACCAGTGCTGAGTGGAAGCTAGACCCCGCAGAACTCGAGAGCAAGTTCTCAAGGAAGACTAAAGCTTTAGTCATCAACACTCCCAACAACCCACTAGGCAAGGTAAGGTTGCTCGTCGAACACAGTAAGACAGCATACCATTGCCTTTCGTCATCACTAGGTATGAGAGCTCATTTGCATAGTTTGATGAACAGTTTGTGTATAGTTCTCTGGAAAAATTCTTTATATTTATTTAATTTCCATATAGTTTTCTATCTCATATGTCTATAGCTAATTAGGGTACTTTATTATAAATTCTTAGGCAACATATTATCAGGAGTGGATAATAGAGATCTCTATTATCCACTCCTGATATTATGCTATACATAATTCTATCTAGACTAATTAACTATAATTGTTTAGATCATTTATCTGTGGTTCTCGAAACTGCAATTGTGGAAATATTATTTCATTTACATATTTACATATTAAAATTCACATTTTCTTGCTGCAATGCATATAGTTCTACCATTCTATCATTTCATCTCGGTAGTCGTTGGTGCCGTAGCGTCGCATGCATGCCTACGCGCGATGGTCTATCGTGGCAATGATGCATTGACCCCATGTGCCTGCTGCTTGCCAGATATTCACGAGGGAAAATATTATTACATTTACATGTTTACATATTAAAATTCACATCTTCGTCCTGCATGCATAGTTTACCCGTCGTGGCAATGACGCACTGACCCCGTGTGCCTGCTACTTGGCAGGTATTCACGAGGGAAAATATAATTTCATCTACATATATTTACACATTAAAATTCGCATCTTCGTGCTGCATGCATAGTTCGTCCGTCGTGGCGATGACGCACTCATGACCCCACGTGGCTGCTACCTTGTAGGTATTCACGAGGGAAGAGCTCGAGATGATCGCGAACCTGTGTAAGAAGTACAACGTGCTGGTGTTTGCCGACGAGGTTTACGAGTGGCTGCTCTACGACGGACACAAGCACACGCGTATAGGTAAGGCTCTGTCACATAACACAAGCAGACGCATATCGGTAAGCTCGATCTGCTGTTACAGAACACAAGCATACATGCATCGGTGAGGTCCTGTCACAGAACAGAGAGGCCACGAGGTCGTCGTGATCGAGTGAGGTGTTTCGCTACCTCTGTCTTGTAAACGTATAATACACGTGCGGACGGCGCTTCCGCTTAAACGAATTCTCACGCGTAACACACAATCTCTCCTCCTGGGTTTCAGCAACGCTGCCAGGCATGTGGGACAGAACTCTGACAATCAGCAGTGCGGGGAAAACGTTCAGCGTGACCGGATGGAAGGTGAGAACGCTAGTGTTGCCACCCCCGTAGCTAGTCACGCAGCAAATACACCGTAGTTGGGCTACCAGAAATGCAGTCCGAATGGCAAAATAAAACTGAAAATCTAGATTCGGAAGTCATCGATTTTTTTTGTGGGCGTCACCGAGTTCGACTAGGAAGTTCTAAGTTGCGTGTTGTCGTGTTGTGTTTGCTGCGACATTCGCCCGTGAGTCGTCCTCCGCGGGCGCATCTGAGGTGTTGTCGTGCATGCTGTGACGCGTTTATAACCCTAGCTATTTTCTGACTAGTCTGGTCCTCACCTCTCTTACCCTCTCTCTAATAGGTAAGACCCAAATTTGTCTTCACTTATGCAGTTTGACAACTTATTCGTGACATAGTCAATTTAAGAAACCCTACGTCTTGTTAGTCTAGTCCTCGCTCTCTTACCCTCTCTCATATAGGTAAGCCTGCTAACAGGTAATTACCTTATAAGTATATAATATAGTATATACCTTATAAGGTATCTTATAAGACCCAAATTAGTGTACACTTATGCAGTTTGACAACTTATTCGTGACATAGTCAATTTAAGAAACCGCTACGTGTGGCTAGTCTGGTTCTCGCTCTCTCACCCTATCTCTCTCTCCTAGCTCGGCTGGACGGTGGCACCAGACCATCTAATGAAGCATGTTAGCGCATTCCACCAGAACTGCGTCTACACCTGCGCGACGCCGATCCAGGTGAGAGGTCAACGCAAGGTCGTGGTGTCGCCAACGCGACGCGAGGTTGCGGGGTCACCGACGCAACGCGATGTCTAGGGGTCAGAGACATGACGCAGTGCGAGGTCGCGGGGTCACCGACGCAACGCGATGTCTAGGGGTCAGAGACATGACGCAGTGCGAGGTCGCGGGTTGGCCGAGCGACGGCGATGTCTAGGGGTCAGAGACATGGAACGCAGTGCGAGGTCGCGGGTCACTGAACACGACGCGAGTTTAGGGGTCAGAGACATGACGCAGTGCGAGTCGCGGGTCACCGACCGCGATGGCCTAGGAGTAGCAGCACATGACGTAGTGGCAGAGTCGCGGGGTCACTGACACGACGCTGCTGATCGTGACCCATTGCGCGCGTGGTCGCGGTAACCTCCTCTAGGGCTCCCTCTAGATGTTCTAAAGTTTGAGCCGAGAATTGAGCTACCCAACTGAAGTTATTTTTACCCACCGACGAAAAACTATAGCCACCGTTCACTTGATCATATGTGCCAAGCAAGGCATAGACAGGTGCGATGGGTATATGGGAAATGAGGCGTACGAAAACTTTTCACGACACGACACTGAAATTTGGCAACTTCGTTATTCAATCGTAATTTTGTGAGTAGTTGATCGATAATTTAGTTAATCATTAGTAAATCATTAGTTTTAGTTTAACCACTCACCAATAGTATTTGCCACGTAGCGTGGTAAAATCGCCACCACTATTCATTCATCGCATTTTGCGAAGGTGGTGAACGCCAGCGATAGACCCCCCCCCCCATCGCCCGCCCTTGCCCGCTCGTGCCAGATCGGCAATGACGACGTTCGCATTTTCACCACCAGGAGGCGGCGGCGGTCGGCTTCGAGCTGGAGCTGGGGCGCCTCGACTCGCCGGACTGCTACTTCCTCGAGCTTCCGGCGATGCTGCAGCCGAAGCGGGATCTGCTGGCCGCGCAGCTGCAGGAGGTCGGCATGCTGCCCGTCACGCCCGACGGAGGTTACTTCATGGTCGCAGACTTCTCGCACCTAGGTAGGCGGCGGCCCCTGGGTGCACGCGCGGGAGAGACGGCCGAGGGGATGGCAGTCGGTCGGTTGGTCGGGTAGTCGGGCGGGCTGGTGGGCAGTCGCGCGGTCGGGCGGGCGGGCGGTTGGTTGGTCAGGTAGTCGGGCGGGCGGTCGGGCAGGCAGGCGGTCAGTCGGCCAGGCGGGCAAGCAGGCAGGCGGGCATGGCCAGTCGGCCAGTCGCCGTAAGGGGCTGTCTTCGTCAGTATGTTGCCGTAGTTATTGAACGTGTTGTATAGTTAATGTAATTGTGGATGTATGTTAGTATATAGTTATTGCTGTAATATAAGTAATATTATATATATATATATATATATACAGTTATTAGTATATAGCTATTGCTGTAGAGAATATATGAAATAGTGACTATATGAGTATGTAATGAAATTAGGTGGTTATTTAGGTGGTTATGTTTAGGTCTGTTTATTGGTAGGGAATCTCTGTTTAGTTTGGTGTGAATTCCTGCTGCACGCTTGCGTTGTCTATACGCGGGTTTTTGTTTCGCAGGCGTAGAGACTGGAGACGATAGCGACGAACCAAAGGATTGCAAGTTTGTCAAGTGGCTTATTCGCGAGAAGGTGAGAGAGAGAATGAGCCGCGCTCACAGAGAGGATAATGAGGAGAGAAAGAATTGAACCAGTGTGTAACTGTCACTTAGTAATTATGCAGTTATTCGTCGTTAATTCAATTGTCAGTTAAATATTTTTTTGTTAATTTGGATCGTTGCAGAAGTTTGCCACTATTCCGACGAGCGCGTTTTACTCGAAGGAACACAAAAGCGTAGCGGAGAATTACATCAGATTTTGCTTCATCAAGGTAATTTTCGGTGTAGCGTGTTCACGTCAACGTACTCTACCCTGTTAGACACTGCTCTGTTATACTGCACTGCACCTTACTGTACAACGTATATACCCGCTATACTGTATTAATAATTTGTAGCTAGCGCATATTGATCGAACTGCTGTGTCATGCCAAAGATCATGCTGTTTGTTCGATTGAGGCATTGGGAAGTGGTTAAGTCGATCCCTTTTTTCTAATTGGCTAGTATCATGTTCGTGGAGGGGGCATCGTGCAGGACCCAACAAAAAACAAAATTAGTCTCAACTTTGGTCCTAACATTAACCTTATTCTCATAGACCACTGACGGAAACACGCTAAAGTTATGAGTTACCCATACGCAACGTATATAGAGACGTCCAGTCAACGAGAAAAAGTTACGGCAAGGACTAATATTAACACCGATTCTGTTTCTGACAACGGGGGAGGGGGATACTCCTGGTTCCTGCGCATGGTACGCCATCTGTAGGGTAAAACTGTTAACGACAATTGTTTCCGCCGTCTCACGCTTCGTCGCCACCGCGTGCTGCTGCTGCGTTGCAGGAGGATTCCACGCTGAGGAGAGCCGGCGACATTCTGAAAGAGTGGAAGCGATCACTCAAGCAGTGAGAGAAACGCAGAGATCTGCAGCGTCGCCTCACCAGGAGCTGTGAGGTCGCCGGCGATAGCGCTGCAGGTGCTGCCACCTTCAGTCAACATGCGATCGGTCGGTCGAGGGAGATGCATGGATCGCTGCACGAGCTTCCCTGATGACGTCGTGTGGGTGAAGCCTTAAATGACCGTTGTAGCGCGCCCCGCGTTAGCGCGGTTTAAATTATTAATCGAAACGAGTAAAGACAATCAAGATGAATAACCATCACCCTCGTTAATTTAATTTAATTTAATTTTGTTTTTTGTTTTAATTTTGTGCTATGTTTGTCAGTCATGGTTAGTGGCCTGTAGAATCTTCTGAGCAGAAATTTCAGAATGAATGAGGGATGGATTTATCAGTAAAATTATATTTTTGCTGTATGTGCTTGTCGTGACAATCTTGGCAGATTGAAGAACAACTTTCACTATGTAAATGTTAAGAAAAAGTAAACAAAGTTGTTTGTGAATGTAAATTGGTCTTTTTCTACATCATTTCTCTTCCTCATTCACATAATGCATGTCAGTTTCATATTACTATGTAGTTCAAAATTAAATTTGTCTGAAAAAAAATGACAACTGAAAATTAGCAAAACATTCTCACACGTTCAAACATACAGTTAGTGCGTAACAAATACGTGTTAACAACAATAACAATAATAACATCATTAAATAAGATTAGCATTAACATTGGATTAAATAACACGAAATCAACAGAAAAAAATAACAGTATAGCACCGCCAGGGGGCGAGCTCGTCGCCCGCACCAAAGGTTGAATCGCATCCCACCAGATGGCGGGCGCGTCACGGAGCGCTGCTTGCGTGCTCCTCCAGGGCGCGCCGCACGCTGGCGGCGGACGGACGCCGCGAGGGCGCTGCGTCCCAACAGCGCGCCATCAGCTCGTCGTAGAAGAGCTCGGTGGCGCCCCCGTGGAGCGGCGGCCGCGCCCCACGCGCCACCACTGCGTAGACGAGCGCGTGAGCGCCCCCTGCTGTCGCGCCGCCGTGAGGACGCTCGCCGCTACGCAGCGTCCACATC